TATTTCAGGAAATAGAAAAAGAAGGAGCTCTTCCAAATTCATTCTATGAGACCAACATCACACTGATTCCAAAACCAGACAAAGACACTTCAAAGAAAGAAAACTACAGACCAATATCTCTAATGAACATAGATGCAAAAATCCTCAATAAAATTCTGGCGAATCGGATACAAAAGCATATTAAAAAAATTGTGCACCATGATCAAGTAGGATTCATCCCTGGGATGCAAGGCTGGATCAATATACGGAAATCAATAAATGTTATTCACCACATCAATAGACTTAAAGATAAGAACCACATGATCATCTCAATAGACGCAGAAAAAGCATTCGACAAAGTACAGCATCCCTTTATGTTCAAAACACCAGAAAAACTAGGGATAACAGGAACTTACCTCAATATTGTAAAAGCTATCTATGCTAAGCCTCAGGCTAGCATCATTCTAAATGGAGAAAAACTGAAGGCATTCCCTCTGAAATCTGGAACAAGACAGGGATGCCCTCTCTCACCACGTCTATTCAACATAGTTCTCAAAATACTGGCCAGAGCAATTAGACAGACAAAAGAAATTAAAGGCATAAAAATAGGAAAAGAAGAACTTAAATTATCACTATTTGCAGAAGACATGATTCTATACCTAGAAGACCCAAAAGGGTCTACAAAGAAACTACTAGAACTAATAAATGAATTCAGCAAAGTGGCAGGATATAAAATCAACACGCATAAATCAAAGGCATTTCTGTATATCAGCGACAAAACTTCTGAAATGGAAATGAGGAAAAACACCCCATTCACAATATCCTCAAAAAAAAAAAAAAAAAAAAGTAAAATACTTGGGAATCAACCTAACAAAAGAGGTGAAAGACTTATACAATGAAAACTACAGAACCCTAAAGAGAGAAATAGAAGAAGATCTTAGAAGATGGAAAAATATACCCTGTTCATAGATAGGCAAAACTAACATCATCAAAATGGTGATATTACCAAAAGTTCTCTATAGGTTTAATGCAATGCCAATTAAAATCCCAATGGCATTTCTTGTAGAAATAGAGAAAACAATCATGAAATTCATATGGAAAAATAAAAGACCCAGAATAGCAAAAGCAATTCTAAGCAGGAAGTATGAATCAGGCGGTATAGCAATACCAGACTTCAAACTATACTACAGAGCAATAGTAACAAAAACAGCATGGTACTGGTACCAAAACAGGCGGGTGGACCAATGGTACAGAATAGAGGACACAGAGACCAATCCACAAAATTACAACTATCTTATATTTGATAAAGGTGCTAAAAGCATGCAATGGAGGAAGGATAGCATCTTCAACAAATGGTGCTGGGAAAACTGGAAATCCATATGCAACAAAATGAAACTGAATCCCTTTCGCTCGCCATGCCCAAAAGTTAACTCAAAATGGATCAAGGAGCTTGATATGAAATCAGAGACTCTGCATCTGATAGAAGAAAAAGTTGGCTCCGATCTACATACTGTGAGGTCGGGCTCCAAGTTCCTTAATAGGACACCCATAGCACAAGAGTTAATAACAAGAATCATCAAATGGGACTTATTTAAACTAAAAAGTTTTTTCTCAGCAAGAGAAACAATAAGAGAAGTAAATAGGGAGCCTACATCCTGGGAACAAATTTTTACTCCTCACACTTCAGATAGAGCCCTAATATCCAGAGTATACAAAGAACTCAAAAAACTAAACAATAAGATAAAAAATAACCCAATCAACAAATGGGCCAAGGACCTGAACAGACACTTCTCAGAGGAGGACACACAATCAATCAACAAGTACATGAAAAAATGCTCACCATCTCTAGCAGTCAGAGAAATGCAAATCAAAACCACCCTAAGATACCATCTCACTCCAGTAAGATTGGCAGCCATTATGAAGTCAAACAACAAGTGCTGGCGAGGATGTGGGGAAAAGAGTACACTTGTACATTGCTGGTGAGACTGCAAATTGGTGCAGCCAATTTGGAAAGCAGTATGGAGATTCCTGGGAAAGCTGGGAATGGAACCACCATTTGACCAAGCTATTGCCCTTCTTGGACTATTCCCTGAAGACCTTAAAAGAGCGTACTATAGGGAAACTGCCACATTGATGTTCATAGCAGCACAATTCACAATAGCTAGACTGTGGAACCAACCTAGATGTCCTTCAATAGATGAATGGATTAAAAAAATGTGGCATTTATACACAATGGAGTACTACTCAGCACTAAAAAATGACAAAATCATGGCATTTTCAGGGAAATGGATGGCACTAGAGCAGATTATGCTAAGTGAAGCTAGCCAATCCCTAAAAAACAAATGCCAAATGTCATCTTTGCTATAAGGAGAGCAACTAAGAACAGAGCAGGGAGGAAGAGCATGAGAAGAAGATTAACATTAAACAGGGACGAGAGGTGGGAGGGAAAAGGAGAGAGAAGGGAAATTGCATGGAAATGGAAGGAGACCCTCATCATTATACAGAATTACATATAAAAGGGAAAGGGGGAAAAAACAAGGGAGAGAAATGAAGTACAGTAGATGGGGTAGAGAGAGAAGATGGGAGGGGAGTGGAGGGGTGGGGGGATAGTAGAGAATAGGAAAGGCAACAGAATACAACAGATGTTTTTAGTATGTAAAAACGTGGATGTGTAACCGATGTGATTCTGCAATCTGTGTACAGGGGAAAAATGGGAGTTCATAACCCTCTTGAATCAAATGTATGAAATATGATATATCAAGAGCTATGTAATGTTTTGAACAACTAATAAAAAAATGTATTTGGACACAAAAAAAGAATAAATTCTATAATTCCATTTGTATAAATCTCTAAAACAGGCAAATCCCTGGAGACAGGAAGCAGATTAGTGATTGCCAGGCAATGCGGGCAGAGGGGTGGGAGGAATGCAGAGTCATTACTTAATGGGTTCAGGGTGTTCTGGGGTGATGAAGAAGTTGTGGGACTAGACACAGATAGTGGCTGGTCAACATTGTGAATGAACTAAATGCTACTGAATTTTTATGTTTAAATGGTTGATTTTATGTTGTGTGAATTTCACTTTGTGAGACAAATACTTAATACGTTTGCTTCCAACATTCCCCAAACACAACTAAAAGATGGATAAGTTACAAACTGACAAATCTAAGTGAAACAAATACCGACAAATCAGCTCAGTAAGAACCACACAAATGAAATCACTATAGAACAGACAGAAAGGACATAACACATTTTCAATGAAAAGGAAGAATATTTGAAGATATGTTCAACCTCACTAGTCATCAGATCCATCCATTGTTAGGGTCGGTAAACAAGTCAAGATGGCGCCTGGCATTTTCCCAGAGGGAGTGGTTTGTGAAGTAATGCCAGCGAGCCATTAAGTGTGGAGATTCCTTATTGGTTGACTGCTGTATCTAGTTTATGTTAATTAAGATAAGCTGTGTGGAATGTATATATACCCTTCCTGTCCTACAATAAATGGCTCCCACTCTTGCTCTATCAATCTACACAAGTTCCTCGTCACCCTCCGGTTATTTTGCTGCAGCCAGGCTGCGGCAATCCATCAAAGTGGCAGGATACCATATCACAGGCATTCAACTGACCAGAATTTTAACATTTGGTAGCATAAGCATTGACCCAGGGTATCAATCTCATTATTAGTGGGAATATAAACTGATCTAACCGCTCTGGAAAAATTAAACATCCACACACCATGCAATTTTGCAATTTCACTAAGATATATACTGGCTTGTGTACCACTGGAGATACAATGAATGTGTTCACAGAAGAGCTATTATGATAGGGAAAGCCGACAAACAATTCATATGAATGCAGGATGAAGAAGCTGAGATACAGCTACACAAAGAGCACTTCTCAGTAGTCAAATGGATAACTGCACGTACAACAACAGGGATGAGTTCCAGTTGTGTACATACTTACTACATAACACCAAGTGAAACACTCAAAATATTATGGTTTTTTTCTTAGCAAGTGTGTGTGTGTGTGTGTGTGTGTGTGTGTGTGTGTTTTCTATCCCAGTTTGGGATAGAATATTCTATGGAAAAGCCCTTTGTGTGTCCCCTTCTCTTGCTCTGTCTTTGGGTGTGGACTTCCTAGATGTCAGTCAACCTGCTGACAGCAGACATCATAACGCTAGACTCCACCCCCTGAAACCTGACCCTTTGCCTCATTTGAATGGTTCTCTTCAATAAAAGGGTTCAGCACTTGCTCATTCTCTTTCTGCGGATCCTTAAGGTCAGAGGAGCCGTCACAGGACCCCAAAGATAAAGGTATCTCTGTCTCTTGTATAGTTATTTTGTGCAACCCAGTTCACCTGGAGTGACCCTGAGTGTTTTAGTAGTAAGGAATGTGACATTCATACACATACATACACACACACACACACACACACACACACATATATATAATTTACCATTAAATATGTGCTCTGAAACTATCTAAAAAGGAAATTAAAGGAAAAATGTCAGCAGATTCAGGACAGTGGTTCCTGGGTGGGAGAAGGCAGTGGATGGGATGGTTCTCTTACTCTTTTTTTTGTGTGTACCCAGGGATGCTTTACCACCAAGCTATACCCCCATCCCTTTTTAAAAATTTTGAGACAGGGTCTAGATGAGTTGAATTTGCAATCCACCTGCCTCAGACTCCCAAGTCCTGGGATTACAGATGGGTGCCACTGCACTTAGCTGATTCTTATTTTCTTGTCAGGTGACAGATTTAGGATGATGGGTGTCAACAACCATAGAGGGATGAACAGAGACAGAATAGAGATGCAGATATTAGAAAGGGCCAAGACCACACATGAACCAATGATGTGACAAACTTTTTGTTATAATCAATGACTAGTCCAATTCTGCATACTTGAGGTTCAAAATAAAAAGCAATTTTAAGAGATGATTAAAAAAGATGAATTACTGGGCTGGGATTGTGGCTCAGCAGTAGAGCGCTTACCTAGCACAGGTGGGTCATGGGTTCGATTCTCAGCACCACATAAAAATAAAGGCATTGTGTTGTGTCCATCTACAAAAAAAAATTTTTTTTAAAGATTCTCTCTCTCTCTCTCTCAAAAAAAAAAAAGATGAATTACTGATTAAGACATTTAAAATATACAGAATTGCATTTATAAAACACAACAGATCATTAAGCAGGATACATCAAATTTTAATTCTTTAGGGACATCTCAAAGAAATGGAACTATACCTTCACCAGAATATTAAAATTTTAAAAAGTTCAAGCTGCCTAACCTCTTCTTGAATATACAGTAATAGTAAGGGAGATGCTCTTAAATTATTCATGGAATATTGAAGAAACTTGGAATTTCCTTCTAGTGTAAATCCATACTAATGAGGAGTGTTAGACCTTCAAAATTAAGCAGAGATAAGCACATAAATAGCTGTAAAACAAGATGCACCACAGGAAATTAGTACAAAGTAAATGAAAATATTCATGTAATAAGATACTATGAAAAAATTACTTTCCTATTAAAAAACCCTAGCACTTTTATGGTTCAGATTCCTTGGCACTATGAAATGCATATTTTTTAATTAACAAAGTTTAAAATAACAAAGATGACAGTAACATAGAAATGTCTCTTAAAAATTCTATTAGAGTGGATTCTATCTCCTTGAAGTTTCCTTAATAACAAAGCCAACAGAGAAACTGTATCAAGTTGGAAATGAAGCAAATTAAAAACCTTCACTACATCTTTAAAGAATATCTGAAATGACCATTAGCAAGTGTAGGGAAAATTCGATAGAAAAAATTCATAAAGCAATCCTTACCCAAAAAAGTGAGCCTGTGGAACGTTGGAAAAGAAGGATGGAAATTTTCCAAAAGACTCAGTGGGGAGCCCCCGCCCCCCTTTTCAGTGCCTGTCACAGTGTTGTCAAGGAGAGATGCTGCTGAGGTCCCTGGAGTTTTACTTTTGTCTTCTTTGGTCTAGTACACTGGAAAATGAATTCTAACGTGTTTGTTTTAAATGCAGTGATATGGAGATTTTTAACTACCTTCTCTTTGTGCAAATGCTCTGTGATATGTACCTTATAAGCATGCACATACAGACATATATGAGTGTTTGCATACATACAAACACTCATTCACAATGAAAACTATGTAGCACATTTAGAAACAAGGGAACATACTGAGGATGCTACCTGAGAAAGCATAACACAAAACAATACATATAGTTACAAAATATGTCTCTCTATCCTGGAAATAGAAGAGGCTAAAATACAAAAAGTTGCTGTGTTAGAGAAATAGGAGGGTTCAGAATGACTGTTATCTTTCAAAACAACTTTGGTGGGATTGTATACTGTTATTTCAATATAAATTTGAAAAAAGTGTTTAGGAAAAAATAAAAACAAAAGTCATTCTCATTACCCACATGTTGAGGGAGTTGGATACAAAATTCTCTGCAGAATTTCTCAATATTCTAATTCCCAAATTCTACCCCTTACCTGTGGCTTTGCTTTGTGTGATTTTAGTTACCCATGGTTCAAAAAGATTATATGGAAAATTCCAAAAATAAACAATTAATAAATTTTAAACTGCACATCATTCTGAGTAGCACTATGAAATCTCATGATATCCTGTTTTGTCCTTCTAAGGAGGTACATCATACCATTATCCAGTGTATCTATGCTATCTATGTTATCCACCTGAAGTCACTTAGTAGCCATCTCAGTTGTGAGATCTGCTGTCCCAGTACTGCAGTGCGCCTACAGAGTTTAGTAGCACTCACTGTTTCAGGTATCACTGGGGGTCATGCACATCTCTCTTGTGGAGAAGGATGGACTGCACTATTTTTCCTCTGTTCAGCATTCTCATTTGCTTAAGAGAATGCTTTGAAATTTTTTCTGTAAAAATAAAACTCCCAAGCTCCCAATTAGTTGTCAATGATCTGCCTTTCTTACCAGCTTTGTATATCATGGAATCAAATAATTTAGAGATGACTGAGCCTCTTCCTCAGTTTGCACCATTTGCTGTAAGGAAAGCAGGGAATCACGCCGATGATGCTCTTGGCACAAGAGGTCTTCCATGTGTACACCATAATCAGGAGCTCCACGAAGCAGGTGTTCACATCCCTGTAATCCAGGCACAGAAAATCCCATTGAGGGGTGTGAGACTAAAGATTTCCTTCCTGACCTGGGGGTGTAGCTCACTAGTAGAGCATGCTTAACGGGCTTGAGGCCCTGGGTTCCATCCCCAACACCAAAATAATAACATTATTGTCTCCATGTTCCAAGACTAAGGTGCAAGTTGCAGAAACCAGTGATGTCTTCTCTTCTCATATCTCCATGAGCCCTCCCCACATTTCCTCTGAATTGATGACTCTAGTTTCTTTTTCCCCTGGAGACCAGTGTTGTTCAGCAGGAAAGAGGCAATGGGGATTAGAGTCAATTTTGGAGTATTTCTGGTGTGCAAAGTTCCTCTCTGACTAATGGCATAACACAGGCCGAATGCAGGGTGCAGATGCTCCTGGTGGTAGGCTCCCATGGAAGCTGTCTTCTGACATAGTACTGGTCTCAGAGATTTCTCAAAAATCTCTTACACATTACTCCCCACCTACTCCTGCTGCCTGGAAGATCTTGCTCCAACAATCCTCCCTCCCTGCTTGCACCATCATCTGTCACACTCCCCTGGCTCATACTCATCAGCTTGTAAATATTCAGATCCTTCTTCCATTAAAAACTACGATCCATAACCACCTTCTCTGAAGCCCCATCTCTTTGCTCCCCTTTGCAGTGTCTACCCTCACTGTCTCTGACTCAGACATTCTCATTCTCTCCCAAACACATTCCAAAGAAGCTTTGGTCCCCAAAACTCTTCTTGTGATAATAGAAGCAAATGTGACTCCATTTTCTTTTATGACTTCATCCTGTAAAACAACCATGCCAAGTAGAAGGGTCATGACTGGGGCAAGATGTTCTTTTCCTTTTGCTATAGAAACCTTTAAGAACACAGAACTACCTAACGGGGCATTGTTTCTGTAACTAGGGTAATGGGGCTCTGTTTCTGTAACTGGGGTGATTGGGCTAACTGTGATTGGTTAGGTTTCCCACCGCTTGACTGCACTATCCCGCTTCTGTAACCTGGCTTGCTTGCATTGGCTAGACCCCCGAACATCCCTTTTGCGGTTTTCAGGCTTATAAGGAGCGCCCTTGCAATTGTTCGGGGCTGATCGGGGGAACAGCTTTATGTTCTGGTCAGTCGCCACCACTGTGCTTCAATAAAGGCTTGATTCGATTATATGTGAGTAGTCTGGAAGTCAGTTTATGAAACCCCGGGTCGAAGCTTTAACTGTAACATTCTCACCAAGATCGATGGCCTCTAAGTGGTTAAATGCACCAGTCAACACTCAGTCCTATTTCTGGGCCCCTCAGCAGTATCTGCTGCAGCTGCTCACCCCTGTCCCTTCAGATGCTTAATGCAATCACTTCCAGGACACCCCTCTCTGGTCTCCCCACGCCTTCCTTGTTTCTTCTGCTGGTTTCCCTTTGCCTGACCTCCACCTAAGACTTTCATTTGTCTTTTCCTGTCTCCCCTCATCCCTTGAGCTTCTCATCCGATTTCATGGCTTTATAAATGTTGGTGACTCTCACATTCCTACCTCCAGCCATGCACCTCTGAACTCAGATCTGAAAGTCCCACAGGTGCTTGATGGTTCCACTGGAATGTGTATCAAGGCATCTCAGGACTTAACCTACCCTAAAAGAAACTGTTCTTTTTCCCAAAAATAAAAACCTACTTCACCAGAAAACCTGTGCCAGCTCAATTACTGGCAACACTCTTCCTCTGGGTAATTCAGGACAGAACTTCTTAGAGCTCTCTTCTTTTCCAGATGGTTTTTGCATCTCACAACTGCCCCTACATCTGGGTGATGTCACCCCATTAGATTATAATGGCCTGACCCTCCTGGAATATCCCTGAAGTCCATGCTCCATGCAGAGAAACCTGCCCTTCAAGTGAAGTTAGACGGCATAGGCCTCTGCTCAAGACCATGAGATAGCCTCCTCTTCTGCCCATGGCCAAAGCCCAAGGTCTCACAGTGGGCCACTAGCACCCTGGCACAGGACAGCCCTGGGAAGAGGAGAGTGGCACATGCTACCAAGACTTGGTGCCCTCATGCCCAGCTCTACTGGGGACCATGAAGGTCCCTGCAGAAGAGGAAGCAAGGGCACCTGATAAAGGCCAGCCACAGCCACACTCTCTGTTTCTCATAGCATATACACTCTCCACTCTCCCTGATTTGGGAAGCAATGGCATTTCCTTGCCACTCCTCTTTCTGGAGCACATAAGAGTTTTGTGACACCATCCTGAGGAAGCAAAAATCAAGGCAGAGATATTAAAAGTCTAGATGAAAGTATGTGTGTTCCACAACTAAATTCTTGGGAAATTTGGCTTTTCTTCCCTTTCTTTGCTGTTTATCATATTTATTTTATACGTGTATGTGTATGTGTATGTATATACCTATATCTATTACTAAATTTGATAGGCATCAATTTTCAGACTCTGAGCTAAAAAATGATGCACTATCCAAACTGATTTCTAGACATTAAAAAATGTCTGAGGCCTCAGTTCCTGTGTTAAAAAGCAGGAACTCAGGGCTGGGGTTGTAGCTCAGTGGAAGAGTGCTTGCCTAGCATGGGTTCGATTCTCAGCACCACATATAAGTAAATAAAGTTCTATCAACAACTAAACAAATTTTTAAAAAGGAGAGAGAGAAACTCAGAAAATGTGGCATTAAGAAGTGGTTAAAATTTAGGGCTTATATCCCATCTTAGCAGGGGAAGGGGAAGACGACAAAGAACTCTTAAAAGAAATGACTTTTAGGAAAGATAAGCAGTCCCTCTAGAGAACGGACGGACGGGGATAGGATACAGTTTTGTGACAATTAGTATGACTTCTTATCTTGGTGAGATTTCTTCTGTAGCCTCAAGACAGAAGTCAACCTCCCTGGTTGGAACTCCCAAACTCTAGGAAAGACATTTATGACATGTGAATTCTTTTGTGAAGTTTTGCTTTTATGCAGATAAGGAGAATTGAGAAAAAGTTCTCCTCCTTTATTTACTATTTCTCAAATGTCCTCAGATCAAAATAATCCCTATGCCATTGTGGGATATCTTCTATCCCTTATAGGGACAGGACTGGGTAGGACTAACAATGGCAGCTTCAAGCTGGAGGGACCTGCCACTCTCTAGCCCACTCTGCCTGGCAAAGCTGAGACATTTGGGGCCCCTGCTCCTTATCAGAGTTCGGAACGAATAACCTGGAGCCATCGCACCTCTCCCCTCCTACCCAGGACAGTGTGGTTGCTACAGGCTACCCCAGGGGGACCTTATTCTAGGGCAACTTAGCTGGAATGGGGGGCTACTATTGGGCTGGGAAGCCTAGGACTGAAGGACTAGCCAGGGATTTAAAAGAAAAAGGAAAAAATAATCATTCTGAGTGGAAAATTTCCATTCAGAGAGGTATCTAGGGACATCTGGGGACAAATGCACAGTAGAAAGCAGGTCTTCATGTGATCATCCTCTCTTCCACAATGGCTCTTCATTCAGAATGGCACAGAAACCCTCATTACACTGAATTCTGTACAACCAGCTTACACATCGCTGACCTCCACAATTTCTAGAACATATGTGTGTCAAATGTTACACTAGGTTGGGATATATGCTCTTTCAGTATAGTCTTTAATCTTCTTAGCTCCTTTACCTTATAAGTGGGGACCATGTTTAAATTATCTGCAATAAAGTCTTTAAGAAAATTCCCTTCCTATAGCCTGTTTTGTTTGTTTGTTTTTTGTTTCTTTGAGAAGCTAGAGTAGAAATGCTTCCCTGCAGGCCTTACACAATCCTGACTATGGACTATTAGGAACTTCATGGATTCTGTCATCATTTGAAGTGTCTATTCTAACACTTGATCTAAACTTTTATGACAACCCATTGAAGCAGGTAGGAGAATTAAGCCCAATTTAGAAATGGGGGAAGTTTACAGATGAACAAACTTAATGAAGGTTGCTTGGCATCTCAGCAGCAGACAGAATCTGGTCTTGGCTTAATTTCTAGGAACCGGTAGTATACAACACTAGTTGTACATCCCTGCTGAATTCCACCTACAGTGAGCAGAAATGGACAAATACCCAAATTTTGAAAAATGAGTATTGCAAACATGCCTTGTTTAGAAGATACTTCTTATCAAATGCTAAAGAAGGAATACAAAACTTTGATGTAGTATTTCCAACTCTTGGAATTTACCCCAAGGAAACAAGGACAAAACTCTATGCTTAGTGATGGTAACTGCAAGATTTTTTTTTTTTTAAGAGCAGAAATTCTGGATATATATGCGAAGGTTCCACACTGGGGTCATCAAGTACAATTGAGACTATACTCTTAACATAATAAATATTCAATACTATATAAGCAAAGCTGGGTAACAAAGGTACAGACCAGGGCAGGGAAAGAATAAGGCCAAAAAAGGTATTCTTTTGCGGGGGTGGGGGGGGAGGGTCAATAATGTATGTAAATTATTTTTATTTGGGTATTTAAATTCTTTTTAAAAAATTACAGCTCATGCTTCCTAATGCCCCAAAGTCCCATTCCACATTTCCATATTCGTTTACACACTCTAATCACCAAAATTGAGCCAACATTAAAATAAAAAAATAAATCCTTATCATCAATATACCATATTCGGGGGTAAAACAAGTAGAACAGTAGTTTAGAAAGCACATCTAGGCGCTCCCTCAACCTCTGCGGGGTTGAGTATGGAGTGGAATAAAACCACTCTTTTGTAGGTAAACGTCCACGACTAGCAAGACCAAGCAAATTAAAACTCAGGGCTGCGCATACATTAGGGATGGGAGATGAGATCCCCTGCTGGCTGGGGACTTGCTTTCTGAAGGGCTCTGCCGCAGGTCCCACAATCAGAAATTGTCTCTCCCAGGCGCCTACAGCGGGCGGGGACCCCGGGGCCATGCGGTAGGTCCCGGTCCCCGCCAGCCCACTCGAGAAGGAAGGAGGGAGAGAGAGAGGGGCTCTCTGGGGGCGCGAGGCTGGAGTCTCCCTCGGTACCCGCGGCCTCCCCCGCGGGTCCCGGACCCTTCAAGCCGCGGCGCTTCCCACCGCGTGCACCTGCCGGTAACGCCAGAGCCCGCCAATCCGCACCGCCACTCGCCGCTGGCTCCCGCCCGCCTGCCTGCCCCCAACCCCAGTCCCAGCCCCGGCCCCAGCCCGGGCCCCAGCCCCAACTCACCCTCCGCTGTGGGAGGAAGAAACCGCGGACCCCCAGGCGGCGTCTCTAGGACCAAACCGGTAGCTCCACCCCCAAAACCGCAACCGCAGCGCTTGAGAGGCCCGGATTTCGTGGGGCGGGGCCAGAGGACTCACGTGGCTCGGGCTTGGGGCGTGGCCTACCCGAGGGGAGGAGCGGATCTGAGGGTCCAGTCGGCAGGGGTGGGACCAGGTAGCGGGACTCGCGGGGAAGGAAATGAGAACAAGAACCGGGACCTCACTCCAGGCGGCGGTGGCGCTCCCAGTGGTCCAGCACCGGGCCTGGTTGATGAGGAGGATCAGCAGGGCCTGGCCAGTGCGGAACCCGCGGGCCTCGCTAACAGGTCAAGGGTCGGGGCGGGGTGCGGCTCCCCCACCCGCCAGCCCAGCTCCTGTCATTCTCTCCAGCCGCGGGTTAAACGTCCCATGGCCCTGGGCTCAGCGGGCATCGGACCCCAGACGCTGGGGAAACAAGGAGTATGCGGAGCTCATAAGAATTGTAATGCATTCCGCTGTTATATATATATTAAAAAAAAAAATCGGTGGACAAAGTGGTGCTGCACCGGCCCTTCTATCTGGCGATTGAAGGGTGCCTGTGTCTGACAGGCCATCACCTCATCTGTCCTCTCATGACAACGCAGAGCAGCTGTGACTCCTCACAGCTCCTCCTTTCAAACATCCTCACTGTCGACAAGCGAATTGTTGGATCTCTGGGTACCATCACCATAAAACATAAAGATTTTCCAATTATTTAGTTGCAAAGTCCTGGAATGGAGGAATGTTTAAATATAGCCAGTTCCACTGAGGCATTATCTACCTTGGACTCCGATGTACCCTTGGACTCCGATGTACCTTTCTTCTACGGGTCCACGTTTGAGGTGATACAAGAGGGCTGGCATTCCTTCCTTCCTTCTTGAGCAAGAGTTTGAACCCTATTCTTCAGCTACCAGTGAGTGAAGGCTAAGCTATGTCAATCAGCCCTTGTTATCCACCAGTTGTCATAGTGCCCAAATCCATTGATGATGAAACTTACAAAGGTAGCTACATTTCGACATGCAGGGTACTTTCCAGTATTCAGCTTTCTCGTTTTTAAAAATCGAATGGTAATTATGTGAAATGGTTAGCCACTCACTGGCACAAATGGGGGAAGGTGCAAGGAAGAGGAGGTGATGGTTCATGCTACCTTCAGGGCAGAAAGCATGGCTACATCATTGATACTCAAGTCTAAATGTGACTCAGCAAGCAAGAGCCAAAGGAGGCGTTCCCCCTTGCTGTCCATATCTCCATGTAGTATGAAATGTCTTCGTTTTGAAAAAGAAAAAAAAAACAGCCTCACTTTTTGATAGATCCTCAGAATTTTTTGTGTTGGTTTGGGCAGCTGACCTTTTTGTTTTCCCTTATTTTTATCTCAAGGCTACATATGAAAAAAAGAGCCCTTTTCTTCTCAACTAATGGGATGATAAGGAGAATCATCTGGAGATTTCCTTGGTTCTTTAGAAGCAACTTCCACTGCTTATGCTGATCAGCTTCAGGGCTTTCACGGATGGAAACTTGGAAGGGAGTTGTTGTTAGGCTTGATCGTGGGAAACTTGTGAGCCATCAGTTGACACCTGTCTTCTGATGAATACTTGATTTGTGAACCAGAGACAGTAATAGCCTAGTATTTCCAGTTTCTTTTTCTTTCTCCTTTGAGACAGCAGTCATCACTGTTTTGACAAGTTTGTAGGTTTTATTTGGGGGGAGGCAGTGCAGGATATTGAACTCAGGGGCATTCAACCCCTGAGCCACATCCCCAGCCCTATTTTGTATTTCATTTAGAGACAGGATCTTGCTGAGTTGCTTATTGCCTCACTTTTGCTGAGGCTGGCTTTTTACTCATCATTCTCCTGCCTCTGCCTTTCCAGCCAATGGAATTATAGACATATTTGTGTTTTAATGTTAACTTATAAATAGGAATTAACCAAACCTCAAATCTGTTTTCAAGTTGTTAAAAATAAACTTTGGTCTCAGTGCACTTTCAAAAGGGTTATTTAATAATGTAAATATTATAGTTTCCCCAAACTCAAGAACCCTGTGAGGAACAAGTGCATTGAGTTGGGGTCATAGCTCAGTGGTAGAGTGTTTGCCTAGCATGTGTGAAGCGCTGGGTTCAATTCTCAACACCACATATAAATAAATTAATTAAATAAATAAAAGTCCATTGACAACTAAAAGAAAAAAAATTTTGTAAAAGAACAAGTGTATTGTCACTATAGTTTGAACACTGTTTCTAGCAATACTATTAAGTTACCTCCCTCAGGTGAGGAGAATAAATAACAATGGATATACCCATGAAAAAATACTTGTTAAGCATTAGGTCTGGATGAATGTGGCTTTAAGAACTTTAATGAAAAGGTTGGTGACAGAGTTAGTAAGCAGGCAGATGCCTTATAGGAGCAAATTGCAATCAAGTGAGAGGGGATCAGTTTGTGTATAACATCTCTGTTATAACAGAGATGATAACAGTCATCTCTGTTCATTTGTAGCAAAGGTTGGTTTACAGTTGGGGAATGTTTCCTAAAGCAGGTACCCCCAAAGACCATTTTCAAAAATATGAAGGACCACAACCCTTTTTCAGCAACACCAAGGATCCTGAGATTTAATCTAATAATTTTTTGAAAATCAGAAGAATATAATTACTTGGTTATATAAGAAACCTTCTGGTAATTATTTGATTAAAAGTTTTGTTTTTAATATTAAATGGGAAGAAAAGCAGAAATAATAAAATCCATGCCTTTAAATAACTCAAAAATAATATTTTATTGATGAGTTATATATAAATTATAAGAACTCATGTATTAACATATATGAGTTATAATAATTTATAAATATATTTTATTTCTAAGAAAAACTATGCTATCAAAGCAGAATTTTAAAGTGATTTTTGAGCAAACTTGCAAGGATAATGAAAATCCCATAGAGAGAATTTTAAAATGTTCCTTTGAACTTTGAGGCCTGATTAGAGGTAGGGTCTCATTGCCTTTCTTTTTAAAGATGAAGCCTGGTATTTGGACCATGCTCTTGATGTATTTGAATGTGACTCTTGGATGTTAATGCACTGTTACATCATTTGGCAAATGTTTCTATAAAGTATGCTTTGCTAAAACCTCACAGTACTGTTAAGGTACAGATTTCCATACTGTGAACCTGTCTCTCTACATATATAGTCTGAGGGGGAAATTATGAACGTATGTAAGTCTGTGTAACACTTTGATATTATTTCTCATGTTCACCAAGTAGTAAGTTCATGTATGTCCTTCAGCTGGACTCAGTCACCTTGAGTTGGCTTGTTTGTCAAGCTTGGTTTACTGATTCATTGACAAAAAACAGTCTTGGGCTGGGGATGTGGCTCAAGCGGTAGCACGCTCGCCTGGCATGCGAGCGGCCTGGGTTCGATCCTCAGCACCACATACAAACAAAGATGTTGTGTCCGCTGAAAACTAAAATAAAATAAATATTAAAAATTCTCTCTCTCTCTAAAAAAAGAAAAAGAAACAGTCTTGTCAATGTGGCACTGTTCTTGGTGTGTAATATTTGTGTATGGTGTTCTCCCTCTGCCCGAGAGGAGTATAGCACAGATGCTGGTCTTAAATTTCTATAGACAATGGTAATAAAAATCTTAATATGTTAAAAGGCTGAAAAAAATTAAAATAATAAAAACAATAATAGTTGAGTTATAGCTCAGTGGTACAGCACTTGCCTAGCAAGTATGAAGCCCTGGGTTCAATCCCAAGTACTGGGCAGGGATTGGGGGAATGGAAGGAAAAGAATCTTTGCTATAGTTTAATAGAAGTTGTTCATGGTGTAAAGGGACAGAATGATTCTTCTCTTTCAAATGATTGTTGAAATTAAGGAAACAGAGACGTGGATGTCAAACACTAGGACTAGGTTCCGCATCCTCTCTCCTCTCCATTGCAGAAATGACCTCCTAGAGATACCATTGTTTCTCCGAGCTTTCAGTTTCTTCACCTGAAAAATGGTCACTCATGTTGGTGACATGGAATGTTTGGTCCCAGTGCCTGAAGTAAAGCCAATATTGAGGAGGTTTTGAGAATAATGAAAAAGTTTTATTGCTTTGTTAACAAAGGAGATACAGTGGATTCCTGTCCCAGAGGCTGTGATTCTAACTGCCAGGGGGAGCAACTGGCTTTTAAAAAGGGAATACAAAGACCCTATCAGCACTCGTAATTTATTTGTAGCCTCAAGAGAGAGCTACTTCTCTGACCCACTTGTACCAGCCCTGAAGTCTGGAGCCTTCATTCCTGTGGTCATTGAGCTGAAGAACAAATAACTCTGCCTAGGACAGGAAGAAGGTTAATTTTGCTTCCTTCCCTCATGATTAAAGAAGGGGAGAGGGAGAAGAGGAAGGGAAAAAAATTTACCACCTTTTAAATAAGCTACGGATGGCAAAGCAGCAAAGGTTGTGTTCAAGGCATGGAGTGGCCCCATTACGTCAGCAGCTGTTTAGGGGTTGGGTGAGCAATGACATATACATGGAGTCCATGGAGTAAGAGGTCACCAGAGGAAGCTGTTTTGCCTCTTCACTCTTGAGTCCCTGGTCATGCGGCCTCCAAGGTGGAGTGGGACTGCAGCTAATCTGGCTGTGGGAGACAGCAGAGGCCAAGACCAGGTCCCCAGTCAGGGGATCCTTGGAAGTTTCTATCATTGGATCCCTTCCTCTATCCTCCAGCTTTTCTCCTTTTCCTTTTTGCCCTTAAATGAAAAGAACTTCAATTTCTTTTGTGATTAAAATATTTACATGCCACCAAAAAAAACAAGGAGAAAAAATTATATATCTGCCTTTATATTATGTAGATAATCACCTTTGATATTTTTGACTCCATTTTTAATTTGACAGTTTATTGTGCACGAGATCCCAGGTTGATGAATTTAGGTGGATGTCATTCATCATCATGTGAACCATGGACAAAATAGCCCAGACTGGGAACCAGCAGCCAGGGTCCAAATTCTTTCTCC